GCCTCTGCACACGCGGCTTGAGTACACGTGCGCGCACACCCACGCACGTACACAGGAACGCACGGCTCCGTACACCCAGTGCCAGGTGCCCGCCCCCGCGCAACAGGTGGGTCCACCACCGGCCCTGGCACCTCACCGCCTCTGCAATGACCCCATTTCCTTCCTGGGGTCCTCGGAGGGCGACGGAAGCCTCCATTGGGTCCGGACTCCATAGCAACCCCCACCTTTTTTTTGCCTGGTCAGTTCAGTTTGGCGCCCCTCAAACCTTACCCCTCTGCTTTTCTCAGCCACCCCCATGTGACCGTAAATGGCGCTGATGTGACTGAAGCGAGCAGGGATGTCTAGAGCATTTCTCTTTTCAGTAAGCCTGATGGGAACCTCCAAGATAGGAGGGCCCCGGGGGCCACCACCAATGGATTCCTATCCTGGGCTGTTGCCCTGCAGATTCCGGCTGGTCTGGAGAGTCTGGCTACCAGTTGGAGGAGGTTTCCCGCGGCCTCCCCTGGCCATTTCCAGCTTCTCCAGCACCACCTCTTCAACTCCTGGAGTATGTGCCTGGGGCAGAGGCTCAGACACGTCCCTTCCTGACTTTAGTCAGTGACCTCCAACACAGGAACACAGGACGCAGGACCACAATTGGATGTGTTTTGCAGTTTGTGAAAGCTTTCCAGCCGCTGCGGAGGAGACCTGGATGGGAAAGGGGACCTGTTCACTTTGGGACCAGTTCAGAGTGAATTGCCAGTGTAGGGAGACTCAGGGAGGGCTTGCTGCGGGAGGTGGCCCTGTCCTAGGGCATGTCGGAGGGATGCTTCTGCAGCTGGGAAGGGGGATAGGAGCTCCGAGTCGGTGCTGGGCCCAGAGTCTGCAGAGGCCTCTGAGGTCCCCTCTCCATCAGCTGAGCTGGCTTCAGGCAAGGTAGACTGCCCCTGTCATGTGATGCCTGCGCCTCAGCACCCTCAGCACCTTTCTGCTGGGAAGGGGTGGGGGGTCCTCCTCTCACCCCCTGGCTGCCTCCCCCTTTGCCAGCCTTAGGGGTGGAAACCAGCTTGCTGCAACCCCCCCCCCCAGACCTGGAGGTGTGCAATCCAGGTCAGACAGGATTTGGAGGCTCAGGTGCAAGAGCCAGGAAGTGGGTGGGGGGGGTGAGGTGTTTTCTAGAAGTCCTTGGCAAAATCTTCCCCTCCTGTCTTCCAGATGCTCCTTCTATGACGACTATTTTTATTTTTCCGGGTATTCAGCTGTTTGTTTTCTGTTTTCCCACCGGAGTGCCAACTACACTCTGGGGCTTTTGTCTTGATCACAGGGTCCCTGGGACTTGGTGGACAACTGGGAAATAAGTGGAAAGGACAGTGAATGTAGGGCAGGGCGGGGTCCAGGCCAGCTTTAGAAACACCCCTCCTTCCATCCTCGCCCCCAGGGTGGCCCTCATGGCACACTGTTCTCTGGCCAGCCCAGAGGAAAAGTCATCGGGCTTTCAAGACCACCTCCCACCCTACCCTGAGAAGCAGGTGTCTGTTTCTCTTCTGTCTTGCCAGGACAGGAAAGGACAGAGGGGAAGGACCATCAGGTGTTCCGTGTCTCTAGCGGGACCTCAGCTTCCACCAGCTTAAAAAAAAGAGCAACAAGAAGGTTGGCTTCACCCCGCTCCCAGGGAGCAGCGGAATTGCCCTGGCGGTGGCAGCAGTGATGGCGGTGATGGTTGCCATCGATGGACAGGCCCCTCGCTCTTCTCTTCCTGCTTTGACATTTTCTCTTGCTGCAGCAAGAGGCCGGGAGGCCAAGCAGGAGGGAGGGTCCCAGAAGCCACAGGAAGTGAAGTGAGGGAGGGAGAAGCTGGTGGAGAGGGCGTCTGTGGTCCGCCTGGCCAGGGCTGGCCACCGGGCACGCGGAGCCTAGTGGGCCTCTGCCTCTGCTGGCCAAGGTCAGCGCCCCTGGTTGCCGGGCCGAGGGCCTGCCAGAGAGTGTGTCTGTGTGCGCCCAGGTGGAGGGTGGGGTTCGAGCCCTTTTGATGTGCCAGTCTGCTGGGAGCAGGTAGCTCACCTGGCCTCCGCTCCTGGGTGCCCTCCTACCTCTGGCAGCTGGCTTTGGGGGCAGGGCGGGAGGAGGCTGTTTGCCTTGGCTCCCGGGGCTGGCTTTGCCCCAACCGTGTCCTGGCCACACCCTCGCCCTGCCAGAGCCTCAGGCCTGAGATCTGGGGCAGCTTCTGCAGGGGCCAGGCCTCTTCTCCTGTCTACGGGGGTGGGGCGGCACCCACCTGGGGCCTCCAGAACCTGGGGCCAGGGAAGCCAGGCTCCGGGCAGCTCATCCTCCCACACCCAGAGTGGCCTCTGACTCCAAACAGGTGTCCCTGAAGTCAGGGCAGCACATCCTGCAGCTGACCACAGGCTGACTGTCCCTACCCCTCATCCACCCTCAGTCCCGGAAGGGACCTGCCAGCCCCCACAGCACCAGGTGGTGTCAGTGTGGGGCTGCGGTGCCATTTCCTGTGGCCCAACGCAGGGGATCATGCAGTGGCTCTCCCACGGCGGGCACTCTCCACCCACTCATTGTCCTCTTGAAAATGTCCTGTGCTACTGGCCCAGGGCACGCGTGCCACTTGCAGCTGCCCTCGAAGGAGCCATACTGACAGTGACCCTCATTAAATACCGGCTATTTGCTGGCTGCTCTGCAGTTACGGCCCCGGGCGAGGTTTCCTTAGTCTGTCTAAAGGACGAAGAAGCCAAGGTTTTTGTTGTGGGGGCTGGTTTTGGGAGGAGCTATGCTGGGGACTGAACCCACCGTTGCTCTACCACTGATCTACATCCCCAGCCCTTGTTGATGTTGTTGTTATTTTTTAATATTGAGACAGGGTCTCAGTTTCCCAGGCAGGCCCTGAACTTCAGAGCCTCCTGCCTCAGCCTCCTGAGTCTCTGGGATTACAAGTGTGTGCCACTGCGCCCTGCTAATTGAGGTTTTTGAGAGTTAAAAGACCTGCTCCCTGGATCCAGGATGCTCTGGCTAGTGGGTGGGCTACCTCTCCCCTCTGCTGTGGGGTCTTTCAGCCTCTGCACACCGGGGTCAGTATTGCTGTATCGTGTGGGGACGTCCTGTGCGTAGTGGGGTGCTGGGCAGTCTCCCGGCCGCCCCCTACTAGACACCAGCAGCTCTCCCCTGCTCGGGACCACAGAAGGCCTTCAGATAAGCCAGTGTCCCCAGGGAGTCCAGTCACTGCGATGCAAATACCACTGTTGTACCACAGGGGTAAAGAGCCAGTGGGGACCTCAGCCATGCTGAGGCCCTGGGGCATCAGCAGAGAGCAGGGACACCTGGACCCCCCCCTCCCCGGTGGGCTGGGAGAGGGTGGGCGTGCTGGGCCTGAGGAGGACCCGGCTGTGCTTCACTGTCCTTAGACCCGGGCCTGCCTCCGTTTTCCCATCTGGAAGATGGGGTAGAAGTGCTACTGGCCTCTTGGGACTGGTGGCTTGATCAGCATCTTGCTCATGGGGAGCTCATGGTTCACGGTCAGCAGGTGACAACTGTTAGCTGTGTCACTGCTACCACACCAGGGCTTCATTGGGAACCCTGGGTGTCTAGTGGCCAGATTAGCAGAAGCACAAGTAGGAAAGGCCTCGCGCCTGGAGGGGGGACTTTTAGGGGTTGGGGAAGAGGATCCCGGTGGCCCTCTGGAGGAGGAGGTGGGAAAATCATATTGGAGAGGACCCCAGGGAGGAGGGGAGAGAGTCCCTTGATGCATTATACCAGTATTTATTGAGTGCCTGCTGTATGCACGGTACTCCTGCCTCTGCAGTCTGTCTTGTGCTGTCCCTGCCCCAGCCTGAGAGGCCTGGGCCAGGGGCATCCATCCCTGGGCCTGCTGGGGGGTCTGCCTGCTCTGCCAGGCTACCAGCTGTGGCCAGCTCTCCAGTGGGCAAGGAGACCTTGGCTTTGGGCCCCTTCCTGGAAGGTTATTGAATGATTACTCGACAAATACTTCTCGTTCTCCACACCGAGGGAGCCTGGGAGGCCTGGCGGGGTACCCCCACTTTGGCTTTCTTCTGCTCCTCCTGTTGCCTCCAGGCAGCATTAGAATCAAGTCGAATATTTTTCAACTCCTTTGATCCACAGATGAGAGCTAGGACCAGAAAGGGGCACTGACCAGTCCGAGGTCACACAGCAGTAGATAGCAGCATGGGGCATGTAATCCAGCGCCAGACTGTCAGTTTGGGGTTTGACCAAACTCAGAGGAGCTTCCTTCTCTGGAGACCACCTACCTGCCTCTGCTAGTGGGATGGATACTTTGTGGACATTTGGAAAACACTGCAGTGCAGACTCTCCCTTGCGGTTGGGCTGCAGGGACATTCGCAGGGATCACACTCCCCATCCAAGTTTTCTAGCTTCCAGTCAACATGGGGGCCAGCGCAGGACACCGCTGGGCCCCTGGAGGGGTGTCCCTGACACCACCACAAGTGTCAAGGCCCCCAAAGCTTGTTTTTCCTTGAGACCAGATCTTGGCCTGGTGCCAGGCTGGTCTTGAACTCCTGGGCTTGAGCAATCCTGTGGGTGCGTGTCACCACCCCTGGGTCCCCACAAACGTGGAGGAAACACAGCTTTCCAGGCGGGGTGCCTGGGGGCTGAGATGACCCCCTTCCCATTCAGGCGGGGCAGGGGCAGCCTCTCTGCCCCTCCTGCCCCATGCCCACCTTCAGATGGGTCAGGGCTTCCTCCCTGCTCAGCCCAGAAGACTGAGGCTGGACGAACGGCCAGTCTGCTGCCCTCTCTCAGGGTTTTTCCCCAGGCCACACGGTCCTCCATGTGCATGTGGCCAGGTCACTCACACATGCACACACACACGCACATGCACTCGCGGTGGTCACCTTTTCTGCTCCTCACCTCTTTGGCATCGGGCCCTCGGGTCTCCTGGGACCACGGGGATGTGGCGGTGACCTCTCGTGTTGTCGTAGGATCTGTGGTTTCCCTGGAGGAAGCAGGGCTCCGCAGGACTGAGGCCCTGGTAAAGTGCTTGTTAAGTTTCAAGTGTGTTTGGTGACAGGCCAGGGGCGGCCTAAAAATAGAGATTGGTGGGGCCTGGGGCAGCTGCAGGTCTCCCCGATGAGTCTGAGGATTCCCTCTCTCCTCTTTCACACGAGACCTGAACAGGTGGCCTCCTGAGACCATCCAGCGCTACAAGCATTTATTAAACGCCTCTCATACCCAGAGGCTGGAGGACAGGCTCTGCTGACCAAGGACTTGGGTTTGGGCACGGTTCCTGCTGATAATAGGATGACGGGCAGAGGATGATCCCCGTGGAGCCTCTGTCTTCGCATCTGTAAAATGGGGTCATTAGGTCACCTGTGATCTGTGCCGGCTGTCCTCAGTGGTCAGGTGTGGAGAGAGAAGCAGAGAGAATTCTGGTTGCCAGAGCCTTTCCGGAACCTGTGGTCTGAGGGGAGAAGTTGAACAGGCAGCTGGAAGCGGGCTGGGGCTCCTGGTGGGGAGTGGGGCTGGGGTGTCACATCTGAGCTGCATTTCAGAGGTTCGTCCCAAGGCCTTGGTGTTCCTGGTTGTCCCCCTGGGTCCTGTCTGGCCCAGCTTCACTGTTCACTTGCTCATGATGGGACCCTGCCAGAACCTTCCACGGGGGAGGCCAGTGCTGGAGAGTGGGGAACACCCCTACCAGGCTGCTCAGTCCCCGTGTCTGCCTGGCAGGGGGACCCCATTCCCGAGGAACTCTATGAGATGCTGAGTGACCGCTCCATCCGCTCCTTCGAGGACCTCCAGCGCCTGCTGCACAGTGACTCCGTAGGTAAATCGCATCCTCCCCCCTGCCCTGGCCCCTGGCCCCTGGTGCCTCTGCCATGCCCTGGCCTCTGTGGAGGAGCTGGGAGGGACCCACAGACCTGGGGCCCCTGCAGCCCTCCTGCCTTCCAGGGAGGGCCCAGCCACACCCGCCTCGGCAGACGGAGGGCACACAGGTTGGTACCTGGATGTGGGGTGTGGCGGAGAAGCGCCCACGTGTGGCTGGGGAGCCCGGGGCGGTGCTGAGTGTCTCCAGGTGTGGACCCGCCGGGAGGGCGGTGCCGGGGAGCCATTGCCCTGCCCCCTGGCCCGGGTCCAGGCCTTCAAGGTCTCCCGGGGACACCTGGCCCAGGCCAGCGGCAGCCCTGCGCGTGCCCGCCCTGCCCGTGCCGAGAGCGCGCGGGGCCGGGCACGTGCTCCCTGGCGCGCACGTGGCGCGGGGCGGGGCGGGTATATTTATACCGCGGTCTTCAGAGCGAATTCCATTCTATTCTAACCTCTGGCCTGGTCCCTGGAGCCCTGGCCGGCACCCCCCCTGCACCCCCGGGTCCCCTTCCCCCTGGGGTCCCGTCTCTGTCACTTTGTGATCCCTGCCTGGCGCTATCTACGGGGGAACAGCACTTCCTGCCTTTGTCTCCTCGCCCCGTTGGGCCCCTGGCGCCCTCTCAAAAGCATTCCCGGGCCCTTTCAATCCGCCGGGCTGGGGGGCTGGGGGGCAGTGGCCGCTGGAGGGGCCCAGCTGGGCCACCTATTGTTCCCAGGCCCCCACCCGAGTCTCCCACAGCCCCGCCTGTGCCCGGCTGGCCAGCCCTGGCCACACAATGGGGCAACTTCCAAATTTAGCCTTTGTGCAGTTGCTTTCCAAGGCCAACCCCCAGCCCCTCCACACCCCGTGGGGTCGGATCTTGGACAGAGGTTTTCAATGGCAGGACTGTCCCGAGGCAGCCATGTGGCTATTTTTTCCTAATCAACTTAACATTTCCACAAAGCACATCTTCCAGTCGTCTCCTCCCCACCAGGACATTCCAGAGATGGCAGAGGGAAGGGAAGGCAGGGAGAGGGACAGACAGACGGCTGGTGGGAAGCTGGCCAGTCAAGGCTCCCTGCAGGACTGTCCCCTCCAAGCCTGGGACCCTGGACAGCGGGTGCAGTCAGCAGGGCCTTTGTCCTGATGGGGCCAGTGGGCAGGGAGACTGAGTCACAGGCGGCGGGACTGGTCCCCAGCACCCCTTTGTTGGTTTGCTGGCTCATGAGCGAGCTTCAGGGTTGAGATCATGACTCTTCTCCACCCGCCATTCCCAGTAGCCAGCTCTACCACCCTCTCTAGAGGGGCACAGTGTCTCCGAGGAGTGCCACTGGCAGAGATGGCAGCGGCCCAGCCTTGAGAGAGGGGCGAGGTAGTCAGTGACCACAGGAATAAGGGCCATGCTGGGAGGACAAGGGCGGGCAGGATGAGGGGTGAGGTGCGACCTGGCAAGGGCACGTGGCCCAGCTCCTCCCTAGTGGACCCCGCCCCCTGCCCCCTCTCCCTGCCACCAGCTCCCACCCCACCCTCTCCAGCCCCTCGCTCCGGCTCCAGAGGGGCTGTGCTCAGGGCTGGCTGCCCCCCGGGGATTCTGGGAATTTCTTCATCCTGCACTTCCTGTGGGAACGCTGGGCGGAGGGGCACTGGGAGCTGGCCTCCAGGGCGCGGGTCTGCAGGCTGCTCACAGTAGC